ATTATCATGATAAACTTATGACAGTAATAATTTCATATTTTAACTAATTATATACAAAAATAGCTTCCTTAATGACCAGTTGCTCTTGAACAGGCATCCTCGATGCACGCGCGATTAACTATAAAATAATAATTTATAATTATTCCAAAATGAAGCTTAACAGACAGTTTTTCTTTCTCTTTTTAATATTTCTGTTCTTCTTCTGGTTTTTCAATTTCTCTTCGCCAGTTCTCGATTCTAAGAATGTTCAATAGAATATTTAACAATATTTGTTGCCTATGAAGAACTTAGGAACAGCATCGCATTAGTCAACTGTGTAGGTAGGTCTATTCTAGATTACTTTTAAGACTAACTTGCAGTTTACTAATGAACACGGTCTCTAAAAACGTTACGTATCATATAAATAACTAGCAACCCGCCCCGGCTTCGCATGAATTATTATTCATATAAACCTTCCTTAAGAATCACTCTATCTATTAAAAAAATCCGTTGCGTAGTTTTAAAGATCTAAGCATACATAGGGCAGACAGACGGCGGATAGCGATTTTGTTTTATACTATGTAGTGATTAAATTTACTTTCAAACTCTCCATACTAAATCTAGAAGTTTTTCCTAAAGTCGTAAGCCATGGTTTACCCGCAACATACTTACATAAATTCAATTAGTCGTTCCGAGTCGGTTCGCAGAACCCAGCACAGCCAGCTTCGCTAATGAAGCCACTTTTCGTAGCCAATGTCTTCATTCGATGCCACAGGGATGTATTCAGCGGTGTAAGAATGTTTTTATTGTTCACCTTTTAAAAGAAATTAATTTTGTAATTGATTTTTTTTTGAACTGATTTTATTTGTTAGTTTCTTTAGATCTAATGGAATTTTGTTTACATTTTTTTTACACAGTGGTGGATAAAACTAAACACTGCCTATGTAGCAAGTACCAAAATCTTAGAATCTTAACGTAAAATCGAACTAGCCTTTTCTACAAAAAGAAAAATCCCATCTTATTTTATAACACAAAATATGACGACCTTCAAAGCATCTTGTTACACCAGTGGTAACTCGAAGTCCGCCCCTGTGATCTGTCCACGAGGCACAACCGCCTATTTCGTTCAAAATTATAACTTTATTATTGCCGATGATTTTGGAAATTAATTTCTCGGGATCGAAGGCAAATTACAGTGAGGAGAGGCACCCCACCGGCTATGAAGTACTGAACACATCTCGACATGATCCCGCATATTTAAACGAAATAAGCTATAAAATAGGTACATATTTTGATGATGTTGACACGAAAATTATTATAAAATGTTAGCTATTAATAGGTTATTTTGAGGCAACGTGAGATCTTATTAAGCTTTTCTTCAGTGTAAAAAACATGATTTCTTTAAGTAAGTAAACATATCTCAGTGTCAAAGATATTAAGCTTTACAACCCAGTATTACTACCAATATTCACATATTTGTTTTACAACGGAATAAGTGAGACTTGCCCACAATATCTGTATCATTACATTACAAAAAAAATCTCAGCAGCCTCCATTTTATTATCACAATGCAATAACTTCATCCATATTTGGATACACAGCGCGGGAAGCACCACGACCCGCCATTTTGATAGCAATTAACCAATTACAAGCCCGCAATTTCGTATTACACTTTCACGAAAAACGAAAAAACGGCTGCAACTATTTTAATCTGTTCCTTGAAAATAATTCGTTTGCTAGTGTGAAGTGTAGTAAGGAAATTATCGGCTTGTGTGAGCTGATTATGTTGTTGAAACGGGACATTATTACTGGGGAAATTTACCAAGTCTTACACCCGAGTCCGTCCGAGTCGCGATTGATTCGCGGAATAATGAAATTGTAATGTATTCTCGTACAATATTATGATTGCACAGCGCGATCTTTATTACGCGCCTGTGTCTGCATTCAACGACTTCTTGCTCGTAATTTTATGTTTAATTCATTTTACTTTATGACTTTAATTAATTCTTAATGATAACTCTGTCTATAGTTCTAGTTATAAAGCTCCTTTATCGTTGATGTTTAAAATCTGTGCTCCTAAATTGGTATCGAATTCAACGATTTATTTATTTTAATAGTCTAAATTCTAAATAAATAAGTATTACTAACTTGTTTTACGCATCAACACTCAATCAGCGAAAAATAATTCAGCTCTACGTCTACCTGCTTTCGAAAAACCAACGAAATTTTTATGCTATCGTACAAACCCAATTAGGAAAATAAGTACGTATATACTAATTAGAAAACAACTCCCTTTCGGTCACATTCAATTCCTACCAACTATTACCGTTTTGATGACAAAAGCAAAAGGTCTACTAATAGGAAAACCTGAATCAGCATTATCTAATAAAATACAGTAATAAAGTCCCCAAGTATTACAATCAGCGCAAAAGCTCGATAGAAGCAATCAACCGAAACATAGATAAAGATAGAAATCTCTCGAATATAAGTCATAAATTATCTGTATTACAGCGAGCTCTGCTACCATAGAGTATCAATTCCCCTTTATTGTTTCCCGTAATAGAAATATAAAAGGCATCACAAATAAAATCGCATTTATTGAATAGGAACATTTAATTCCGGTCTGCGATGTCGTGCTGCGATAGCCTCTCTATGAATAAAATAAAAATATTGTCTTTGAGATACCTACTCTAGCTTGTTTATGGGATCGTTATTTTGCTTTTCATTTTCGTAGTCTTTAATATGATTTCGTAATCTTTAAAGGTTATTTTGCGAATTTGTATTGTGTTTAACAATAGCCTGAAAAAGGACCAGCTCTTGCTTAGTCATACAAATAACAAGGTAAAGTATTCTACTTAAATTCAAACATAAAACGGCTGACAATGAAAATTCAAATAAATCATTCGTTTGTCGTCGTAACAAAACAACAGAATGTAGCAGAATTATTAACTGTACGAATTTATAAACCGCGTTATACAGCCCTCAAATAGATACTTAGTAAGTCCCCCCCGAGCCCCTCCCTAGTGACATTAAAACATTGAGCAGACTAAATTAAAGCGCGCCAAAACTGTTGTCTGCGGGCCCAAGGCGGTCGTTTGTTTTAATACAATAACCGACACCGTCTCTCTTACTCCTCTCATTAGGGATATACGTCTGTCTTGTTCCAACACGCGTAATTTAGCCTTTTCTCTTAAGGCGACAACGTAACGTATCGGCAGTCTGACAAGTAAAAACAACTCAATTAGTCTAACGGCAAGTGAATACTGGATTAATTGAAAACATTCTGTTCGTGTCACAGTGGCTGCGAAAAAATATTATTGCATGCAATTATAACACTTCCTAAATACATTCTGGATGATTCATTGCCTCGGTTTTTATGATTGGATTCGTAATTACGTTTTTTGTTTTAATTTAATCTTATTCATTACGTAATTAAGGTAAAAACCTCTTTTACCATATTATCAATGTAACAAAACAACGATACATTCAGCGCAGAACAGAAGCGCGTTCCTCTTAATCACTTCTAATTTATTTAGCCCCTCGGAGGACCGAGCGAGTAATTTATAGCTGTCCCTTTCCAACCCGAGGCGGCGGGCGTGTAGCCGTCCTGTTCTCTCGGGACCATTTTTAATTAAAATCACCGGGAGAAAATTAGAAATTATATTCTATTTTCAAAAACTTGCTCTGACGCTTTGTAGGAGATTATCTCTTTTTTATGAGCCCCCGGTCGCGGCTTTTGTTTAACTGCACACGAATTGGCTGAATGGACTTTGTTCCAACCACGGAGCTTTTACGATTATGTCTTGTTCATTTCAATCCTGCTTCTCTGATGATTGGAAATGTTTTAAGTTTGCTCGTTATGCTTTAACGATGATGGGACTTGGCCCTTTCCACTGTCATATGAGTTTTAGATGATAGCACTTGTGTGTAATTGCGAGGCGTTAACCGCTGTGACAGCTTTCAAATTCAATTTAATTCTTACCTTCTTTGGATTTTTAGGACTGTAGTTATGGGGCAGGTGGGTAACACTAACAGATTAGGGATAATTTGTTGTATCTCCACCTGAAGCGAAGTGGTAGAGATGTATTCCTATTTCATGCTATTTATTAAAGAGTTTCCTTTATTGTCTTGACTAATTCACACTGTGAACTGTGAAGTGTCATAAACTGTGAGCTGCTATTGTGCTTGCTTTATTGAGTATCTGAGAAGGCGGTGCTTTTATCTCCCTTAATCACTTTATTTTCTGCGAAGTGCACTTCGTAAGGCAGTGGCGCGGCTTAGCCTACAGCAGTAGGAGGCTAGAATTTGCTCTTACGTAGTACGAGGAGTAGATCGTTTTTATTTGTAGGGTTTTGAGCCAAGATGTCTAGATCTTCTGAATTATAAACATGTTTTTTCTCTGTACGACTATCATACAGTACTTTACTTTTAGAAAGGTTTAACAACCTAGGAAAGGAATGTTCAAAATAGATTATAGTGCCAGCTCAGTAGACACTTTTTTAATGGACTACGTGTTTATGTGATACAAACCTTCCGATAAATAATAATAATTAATGAATAATGGAGAGCTAAATTGTAATGACAATAAAAGAGATATTATTTTTTATTAAAAAAAATTGCCCCGCATTGCGACTTTCTCCTATGTCGCGGGTGCGTTTACAAACATGCAAGTTTACGTAAATAATGACACCCAGACCCGAAACAACAATTTGTGGATCACACAAAGTGTTGTTCCGTGCGGGAATCGAACCCGCAACACGTTGCACGGCAGAATGCTCGACCGCGTTATAATGGCAGAGTACCTACTAAAATACATTTATCATTACACATATTCTTTTCTTAGGTTTTACAAAAATTCATTTAGCAGAGACCGTACAGCTTATAAACTTAAGCCATTTAACTTACGACCTCCAACACACTCGCCAAGATTGCAGCAAGCCCTCTTATGAAGAGTAGGCTCATAGTCCAACAGTTATTAGATTATCACGAATTGTTTCCCTAAACGCGTTTCGTCTTTTCAGGTGGCGTATGTGACGATGATGGTGACAGTGGAAAAAGAAGACGATCTCGGACGAACTTCAACTCCTGGCAGCTGGAGGAGCTAGAGCGAGCGTTCCTGGCGTCTCACTACCCCGACGTGTTCATGAGAGAAGCCCTCGCCATGAGATTGGATCTCAAGGAGAGCAGAGTAGCTGTGAGTATCACGCTACAGTCATTCAATTCAATTCATTAGCCTTTTGTAATCTATTCTAAGTCATATTCTGACACTTTTAATGTTGATTTTGGGAAAACTAAAAAAGCAACTTACTTTTAGTATGTCTTTCTATCTCAAAATTGTAAAAAACAGACAGACAAATTGAGAACCTTCTCCGTTGGGGAAGTCGGTTAAAAATACACAATCTTTGAAGTTCACAATCAACTGAGTATTTCTGAGACATTATGGAGAGTTTCTTATGAAACAAACAAAGGTCTTAGAAATATTCAGTTGATTAATACTCAGTATTACTATAAAGTAACGCTAGGTTAACTTTCTAAACACACGATAATCCCAACCACTTCAAACGAGAACAACCAACGAATCACCGTTAGTACTCCATATGTCTCATTCACAACTTTATTTAAAACTTCACCACTTCACACTCAAGACAAAACCTTACAAAAGGGGAGAACTTTTAGCACCATTAACCATTAAACTTTAAATAACCTAGACAGGAAGTGTATACCAAAAGTATACAAAATTGAGCCGTACTTTCAGCGATAAACATTAGTCATGGGGCTTAAACATCCCATATTGCTTTGTAGTGTCGGCTGTCGTATTATATTTAGCATGCGACGAATGGCAACGGTTACACACCTAATGTCTTAATCCATCGACAGTTTACGACCCGCCATTTTGTGACCATAGCGAAACATCCTAATTTTATTACGCGCCAAATCTGCTTCAGTATGCTCGCAGTCGATTGCTCCGTCAGATCTAAGTGTTCGCCGGAAATTGTCGGATGCAACCATTTTCTTACCGCTAATAACTGTGAATGTCTTTGTGGCTTATTTGAAGAAAATCAACCGCATATCTACTTACATGCGTCTGTATTTTAGTTCAAATACGTATTTATTACGCTTCTAGGTACGGATAAAGTAAACACAAATATAATCACGTCATCAAAATAAACCAAAACATTACCGAGAAGCTGATCTTATTTGAGGAAAATACATGAACAAACACGACGCATACTTGTACATAAGGGTAAAAATGCTGAAGGTTTCCGTTCAATATAAATGAGGGACGATTTCCCTTATTTTCCCCAAACCTTCCGAGGCTAAGCGGCCGCCGGGGACCACGCGGCTCGCCGCTTTTTATATAAGCTTTAGATCCGAAATAATGTTCGACTTGAGATAATACAGTTTTGAATGGACGCCGTTTTGTGGCCAACCCTTGGCCATATACGAATTGATGGCATTTTGTTTGGGCTTTTACCTCCGAACGGGAAAGTAATGCTCCTACCCTTCCTTATTACATTTCGGCAATACGTCTTCTGTTTTGTTTTTGTCTTCTAGGATTGAATAGCTCACACACAGAGGTTTTAATGTGTGTCCGAATAATAATGACTGTGATATTATTATTCAAATTGATTGTATAAACTTCTGTATTTTGAAGTTTAGATGGTTTTCCAAAATAAAAAAATGTACAAATTTAATATATTATTGTATACAAAGCACAACAACAAAATATTTTTCCGTAAAGCGTGTATAAGTAAATCCATTTCCATAATCAGTACTAACGTCGATTGTATCCGACACTTATCGCGGCGGATCTCGCTCTGAGAGACAGACTATCCCGCACCACTCCTAATAGTTGGTATAAATCAAAAGATTGCAATCTTGGCGGCACCCCTGGGACGCGAGTGAGACGGCACGATTGAATAGCATAGATTTAAATGGGCGGGTCAGATAAGGATGGCTGCAGATCGCGCCGCTCCGACCTCGTCCGCGCCGCCGCTCCTAGGGACGTCACAATTCGATTACAGCTCAATAAAGTTAAAGTGACTTGTTTGCGTCTGTAAAGTGGATTTTTTCCTCTTCTTTGATTTCTCTATTTTCTTTCATTCGTTCGACGTCTTGGGCTGCGTTTCTGATCGCAGTATCGTATTATTGACTTGGATTTATAGGCTTCAATGGAACCTATTACATTGAATCTAAAATAATTGAGTGTCATAAATGTGATTTCATTGAAGAATAATTGAATAAAAATGAATATATGATTTTCTCGAACATGAACGTGTATGATTATTATATATTTTATTCAGTAGCATTTTATACGAATGTGCGGGATACATTGGAACATTATGCGAGCATTAAATAAAGCTTTGTCGGTTTCGGAGAGACGGCAAATGTAATCATGGCCTTACATAACATAAGAGTTTCGCGAAAGACGTTAAAAGCCCATTCTTTACTGTAAGTGGCATATTCTAATCTAATTTCATCCCTGCCTGACGTAAACTTGTGAAAACGGCTCACTCGCTCCGCCGTAAGCGCGGAAGTATCGACTTCATTTTAAAATTCATAGCATAAAATTTACATTTATATGCCAATTTCATTCCCTAACAGGGCGTCGGCGGTCGCACGCACACATCAGTATTCCACACACATCCGGCGCTGCCTCGGTACACCCCAAAAGTAAAAAAATAGAAAATCTCCTTACATTCTCTGCTCGGTTGGGAAGAAAAAAGAATGGCGCGAGGTTTAAATATGGAACACTAAATGGAACGCTTAGGCGACAAAATGCGGATAGAATATAAAATTTAAGGATCGTCGTGTGTCCCTGTTGCTCTCCTGTAGAGCACGTCGCTCCATCCCTTTCAGCGGCCGTCGCTATCAAACACGAGCCGACTTCACCGCCGTAGGCTTAGCGGTAAAAGATAGACATGAGACCTCTACAGGGTTGCTCCTGAGGCGGTGAATTATCGTGCATGAATAATTTTCTCACTAGCAAACAAGATTTGCTTCGTATTAAATTGCTGTAATGTAATTACTGTGCCTAATGAAATGCGGCGCTACACATGCGGACAACCGTATAATTTGAACATTAAACATGTTTAAAACGGAGTTGTCATCTACGTTCGTTCATTAATTTGAGGCCCTTCGATTCAAATTATACGTACTTGACACTGCATTAAGTATCATTTGTAATCCTCGATTGATAATATGTAGCGTGAATTTAATTATCCATGATAAATGATAATCTGGTGTTAAATATTAATCAACACGACTCGTTTGAATTTCCGAGCCACTTTGTAATGAAATAAATATTCAATTTATTTTATTTGAAGAAATTTTTAACGACAGCCCTATTAGGAATCGCTTAGCTGGCAATCGGGATGATCTTGCGAAATTTGTATCTGTCTCTGTCACTCGTACGTCTGGATATAGATTTGTGTGCAAAATGAAAGAGACAGAGTAAACTGAAATACAGCGCTGTTCGTGATCACGGGATTGTTTACAGGGCTGTTTACAAATCTGTTTGTATCAGCAATAGGTACTTTGTTTGGGAAGTAACTTGCCATTTCTTTGGATGCAACATTCTCGACTAGGAATTATTTTACAGGACTTTTTTGGAGAGAAGCGGATAGGTACACTCCTTGTGTCTGTGACATCACTTAAAAATGGCTACATGTAATCATTTCCTCTATATCTTAACCTAAGTTCATCAAGATTACATCAGCAGTTTAGGAGGTGAACACGTACAAAAATTTTCTTCGACATCCCCGTATTAGACATCTGAACTTGTAAGTTCAATGGACATTAAGGAATTAATAACTAAAGCTCCGATACTCAAACAATAAAACTAAATATCTTTATTAGATTCAAATGGATATTCAATCGTTAATAAGATCGTCTCATAAAAACGTAGATGAAACCAGAGAAACTGCTAGTTTTACAAACCTACTTACATAGATAAATTATATATTTATGATACCTACTTGTGTACCTAAACAGAAACAAAACGTGATTTAATAAAGGAAACGTGCCTTTCAACGAAGAAGATTAAAATTAAATGATCTTTATTAAAATTTTATAGTATACAGGACAATTGTCTAGAAACTATTGATAGGCTGTAAAACTATTGTTAATTACATCATATAGGTATTTTATTATTGTCGTTAATAATGTTTCACATAAAATATTCAATGAATTGAGAATTGATCAAAGGCTCTACTATACTATAGTATACTCCTACCAATTATGGCTCGGTCGGTTTGTCTCCTATTATGGTACCTTAATAGTCTTATTGTAAATGCTAGTCTAACACCAATGATTCCCAGTCAATGTTATTGTGGAAAATCCTGAAATAAATAATAATACCACTGTGCTAAAGCTAGTACTAGCTAGTTAGATAGTTTTAATCACTAAAAGGCTCATTGATTCATCATAATTATTTTGTCGTTCCAAAGAGCGATCAGACCACCACAGATGGGGCTCAGTAACCTTATGTCGATACGTCGCCGCGGAGGACTTAACGGGGCTCCGACTCGAAGAGCAGGATTAGGAACGGGGTGGTTTTTAGTCGGTAAGAGTCTGACACTCCTTCTCACCTCACCCGGACGGGAAGAGTCATTTTTTTTTTTTTTTTTTTTTATGAAATGAAACTGAAACTGAATGAAACTGAAAACAAACTAACACACGTCACCCAAGCAATTATGTTAATGTTTTAAAAAGAAATCGTTCAGTAATAAAGTCGTTTTTAAAGTGTATAGGGTAAAAGTAGGTGTCGATTTCCGTAAAGTAAATAAGTCTCGCCACCCCGGTAAAGTGGGGGATGACGGTGACAAGTCAATGTATCGACACCACAAACGTCTTCCTTACACCCTCGGGTAGGGGAAGATGCTATTCTCTTTGACGTCACTTAATAAATGGTTTTTTTATATATATATTTTTCCTCAACTTTCCTGTGGTTGAATTTTTGTAGATTTTTTGTTGATTTGGTGGAGTGAGCGATATTGTGATGACAATAAGGTTTAAAACTAATTAACGATGCAGCCTAATGCCTGATTAAGCCAATTAATGTTAAACTATTTAATGAACTATATTCTTATTTGACTGTACGGTTGGTTCGATTCCCGCACGGAACAACACTTTGTGTGATCCACAAATTGTTGTTTCGGGTCTGGGTGTCATTGTGTATGTGAACTTGTATAT